TAATTTGGTCCCAAACTTCTTTGATTAGCCTATCAGCTTGCCTAAGTGATAACCGGACATAATCCTATAGACATGGTATCTAAACTGTTAATTAGAGACTACAGTTTATAAATGAGTCACTAATTTTAACAGGCAGATTTAGATCCTATAGGCATGCTTTCTAATTACAGGATTAATTACCCCTATAGGCATGGTTTCTAAGTGCTGAAACTGATTAGTATATTTATTTCCTATAGGCGTGATATCTAAGTGCAAAACTGATTTTTATATTTGTTTCCTATAGGCATGATATCTAAGTGGGCAGAGACGTTAACAGAATGTCATACAGATTTAGTAATTTGCACAAGGAAGATCCTATATACGTGATATCAATGCACATTGAGATTTAAAAATATGCGTGAAACATGGGTTCTTGAGGCAGAATTGATAAAATAACATATAAACAGGATCTCTAGGATGCCAAGTATGAAACTCCAGATTTCAAACGGTGACACAAGATCCTATATGCATGATTTCCAATGGTATGCACATAAAGAATCATCACAGCAGCCTACAGACATGGTTTCTACCCAAATCTCGACCTTAATCCTTGCTGACTTTTCAACCGCAACCTTCATTGTTTCTAGAGACACTTCAACCTTGGGAAGATCTCTATCAGAGTCGCACTGGTGACACATGGCGACCTGTGAATGCCTCATTAATGCTATCATGACTTAAGCATACTAGAGATAAATTTTTGACCCATACATTAGTAGGGAACATTTCCACTTTTAATGAGTTCTACGAATATGAATCTAGGTTAATCAAGTTAATGAGGACGTAACGAAAATGAGATGGTTAAAAAAAGGACTTGCTAGTATATTGAATTATTACTTAGCTAGAAAATGTTTAGGCAAAGTTTCACTTTTTGTTCTTCTATTATATAGTTAGTGCAGCTTATACTCGCGAATTCCCCAATCTACCACATAAACCTTCCATTATTGCGAACAAGTGTCGCGAATTTCTATCACAAAAAATAGAAAAATTAACGACTGAATACTTGAGTTATTAGCTATGTTAGTGTAATATAAAAAAAAACGAAATTTCACCTTTCCTTCCACAACTAGTAATGTTGGATGAAATTATCCTTTATTACTATGTTATAGAGTGAAAATCTTTTACATGTCCCAACTTTGCTTTAAAGATTAAACTTATACAATAGATATTTTCCTCCTCCTATCCTATGCGATATCTATTTTGCCTTTACCATTTTTAATTCCCTTTAGGTAATCTTTTTTTTAATATTGTAAATGATGTTTTATTCTTTTTCCCTACGTGATTTACATATAATTTTTTTTTATTTCCATTATAAGTTATAATTTAAGATTATAAAAGTTAAAACTAGAATCGTCCTTTCATGAACTTGTTATTAATACTATGTGCATAAAGTATACCATTAAGTTCAATTTTCTCTCTTATTCTCTATTTCATATACAGATTCAAGGATAACCTCCTTTAGAATTGTTGGGGTTTTAAGCATTAATATGGCTTAAAAGAGGGTGAATGAGAAATGGAGGGAAATGAAATTTTAAAGTGAAATTCTAAGTCCCCCCCCTCCCCTTCCCTTGACAAAGGGACATTGTCCCATATTGGAAGAGGAAGATGTTTTTGATGGGTATATAAGCAATTGCTCTTCTTCTAGCTCTTAAAGAGTTGAGAAGAAGGCAAGCCTCGCGCCGTCGTCGTCGCTCGGCTCGGCTGATTGATTGATTGATTGATTGATTGATTGATTAATAGTAAATATTAACAGAAATGTTATTACATATTCGTTTTAATAACAGAATATTAATATTAATATTAATATTAAAATCCAACGAAACTGTTTTCAGCTTTTTAGTTGTGTAACTGAAAATTAAACTTCCCTCTTTAATTCCCGGTTTATTATTGCATAAATTAGCCATTTATGTTATAGCATTTATGCTATGGCCGTTTTGCATAAACAGCCATTCTGAAGAGTTGCACCTCTTCTGTTTTCAGCCCAAAATTGGTTATAAATACAAGTCCATTCCCTCAGATTTTCCATACGGTTTTCTGAGTTCTCCTCCTTTCTTTTGCATACTCTTAACATCAAAGAAAGCAACAGTAAGTGTGATTTGCTACCGAACTTTGTGTTCGCTGAAACACTGGAGTTTGAAGTACCAGTACACCATTGTGTAATTCGTTCTATCCTGGGAGAAAATAATCCATAACCTTGGGTACTAGGAGGGGATTAAATTCCTTAAGGAAACACTGTGAATTCAGTGGGCTCGGATTAAAATTTTATTTCGTTTATATTTTTTGTTTATATTTTATTTTATCTTTTCCAGAATTAGTTTACAAATACAGCTTATAACAAGCTTAAGGAATTTAATATATATTAAATATATTTTCTATATTTGTGTTATATTCACTATTTTGGAGATTAAAAACTTTGTGGTTTTCTACTCCGTTGGAGATTAAAATCTACGTGATTTTTTTTGTGGTAATTAAATTTCGTATTACCAGGGAAAATATTTACAAGTATAGCAAGAACCCTCAAAAACTCACATAGATTTGGACATGCAGCCCCAAATCTAGTGCCCTCATATCAACATAACTACTCAACTATAAAATTATGGATAAAAATTGAAATTCTGGAAGTATCTTGCTATCTTAGAATTCAACATTCCACGATAGTGCACTTCTTGGATTATCAGTTTGATCATCTCCTCACTGTTTCTTTGTGTTCCTCTGAAGGTTCTCCAGTTTTGTTCCTGCCAAATATAATAAACAGCACACGCGAGTACCATTCTGTATGTTGCACACATTTGCTTCTTTCCTGATGCATGCCTTATCGCCCACTATTTTTCAGCATCCCAACTTTGTACATTCCTTTGTATCCCCATCCATTGTAGCAACTTCCTCCATATACTTGCTGAGTAGTTGCATTGAAAAAATAAGTGTTCATGACTTTCTTCTACCCTTTCACATAATGAGCAAGCTGAACTGGTTGCTATGCCCCATCCTATTAGTCTGTCTCTCGTATACAACCTTTCCAGGATTGCCAAGTACAAAATGAATCTCCATTTAGGACTGCTCCATTTATTACACAATAATCTCCTCCACTCCACTTTAGGTAGATCACCTCTCAACTTATTGTATATCAATCTGATGGAGTATTCCTTCATGCTCAACACTTCTTCAATTGCTATGTTAGCCTCAATTAGGTATTTACCAGCTCCCAAAATTTTTTGCATTAACCATGAGGCTTGATTAGCTTTCACTTGCCATATTACTTGTTGTTTGATGTAGTAAGCATGAATCCACTATATTCACAATCTATCCTTCTTCTTGTTTAGATTCCACAGTTGTTTGATTAGTGCAGCTCTATTCCAAATAACCATATCTGTGATATTCAGACCCCCTGCAGATTTTGGCCAACATAATTGTCTCCAAGCTACTAAAGCTTTAGCTTTGGTTTCTGTTTCACCTGTCCACAGAAATCTCTTGCAAATTGTCTCAATTCTTGTAGGATCTTCTTAGGTAAAGGAAATATCTGTGACCAAAATGATTGAATAGCAAATAAAACACTTTTGATCAGCTGCAACCTGCCTGCATAAGACAGAAACTTTGCTGTCCAATTTTTGATTCTGCCTAACATCTTATCTAGTAAAGGTTGACACTGTGCAATAGTTAGCCTTTTACTACTCAATGGGACTCCCAAGTATCTGAAAGTCAAAGAGCCTTTAGAAAAACCTAAGCACTGGATAATGTTTTGTTGAATATCTTCAGTGACCCCTCCAAAATAGATACAACATTTTTCCTGATTAGCAATCAGCCCTGAGGCCTTTGAAAACTGTTGAAAAAATTCATATAATAGCTGTATAGACACCACATCTCCCCTGCAAAATAGCAACAAGTCATCTGCAAAACTGAGTTGGATAATATTCAGCTTCTCACACCTAGGATGGTAGTTAAAGTCAGGCTTCTCTTTAAGAGTCTTCAAGCTCCTTGTAAGATACTCCATAGCTAGCATAAACAAATATGGTGATAATGGATCACCTTGTCTAACTCCTCTCTTTGCATCAAAAGGAGTTGTTGGCTTTCCATTAATCACAATAGCATAAGGCACTGTAGTAACACATGACATAATCCAAGAAAGAAATTTCCCTGGGATATTCATTTCTGTAAGTACTTGTTCAAGGAAACTCCATTCTACAGAATCATACGCCTTTTGCATATCAATTTTAACCATACATCTTGGTGACAAGTTCATGCCCCAGTAGAACATTGTCACTTAGTATTCTCCCCGGTACAAATGCTGTCTGACTCAAATCAACTAAGTCTCCCATTACTGACTGCAGCCTATTTGTGAGCATTTTGGAAATAATTTTGTAAGCATAGTGCAACAGAATATTGGCCTAAACTGCTTTATAGAAGAAGGATTTTTCACTTTTGGGATCAGAGTAACTATTGTCCTATTTATTGGTTTATACATTATACCATCATCAAAGAATTTCAGAACAACTGATGTAATGTCCTTGCCAATTATATGCCAAGTCTTCTTGTAGAAGTAGGCATTGAAACCATCTCCACCTGGTGCTTTTGAGTCACCAATCCCCTGCAAGGCTGTCTTCACATCTTCCTTAGTAAAAAGGGCTATAAGCTGAAGCTGTTGTGATCTTTTAAGTCTTGGACCATTCCTCATTATGCTAGGATTAATAGTAGGCATGTTGTTAGTTGATCTCCCTAATAATCCTCTATAGAACCCCACTATCTCATGTTCAATGCCCTCTGGATTGTTGATCAATCTTCCATTGCTATATGTTAAACTCTTTATTTGGTTTTGTGCTACTCTCCCTTTCATGCTTGCAAAGAAAAAAGTTGTGTTGGAATCACCTAGCTGAAGCCATTGTATTCGAGACCTTTGCTTATAGATGCTCTTTTCTATATTGCTCCACTTCTCTAGCTGCTGCTTTGTGTTTCTCTCCACATCAAACATATCAGCTGCTGTGTTTAGTTGTTCTCATCCGTGCTTGAATGTTTGCTAATTCTTCCCTTAACTGCTGCACCTTCTTTATTGTATTGGAAAATTCTCTCTTGTTTAACCTTTTCATCTCTTCTTTAATCTGCTTCAAATTACACCATATATCCTTCATAGTACTATTCTCCTTTTCCCATCTGCTTCTTATTATTTCTTCAAACTCTGGATGCTCAGTGAAACAGTTAAAAAACTTGAAAGGTCTCCCTTTATACTCCATTCCAGTCTCCACCTCTATACATAAAGGAGAGTGATCAGAGAAATGAGGATCCATCACACAGACTTGCAATGGTGGCATATTCATCATCCAATGTGCATTTACAATAGCTCTATCAATTCTACTAAACACATAGTTGTTTGTCCATGTGTAGGTTCTTCCCACAGTTCTTAGTTCATTTAACCTGCAATCCTCCATTAGAGCTCTAAAGTCCTTGATTTTATTATCCTGTATTTCTGTACCATTTACCCTGTCTTCTTTGTCCAATACTGCATTAAAGTCCCCCGTGAGCAGCCAAGGACTATCCATCTGTGAATCAATTTTCCTTAGTTCTTCCAACATATCACACATATGAGCAGCAGTATGCAGTCCATATATAGCTGTAAACGCAAATTGCTTGCTGGAGCTATTATTTTTTATTATACCATGAATATATTGAGTATGAGATTGCAACATAGTGAATTGAATACTATTTGCATCCCAGAGAATCCAAATTCTACCTCTTTCAGTAGCCTTACTATTTGAGCACCAACTCCAGCCTGGTGCACATTTATTTATGACCTCCTTTTCTTTAGCATTCTGTACTCTATGCTCAACTATTGCTATAAGATTGATTTTTTGTTTTTCCAAGAAAATTTTCATCTCCTTTTGCTTATGAACCTTATTAAAACCCCTCACATTCCATGTCACTATCTTCATATAGGTTTCTGTTTAGTTGGAATTATCTCTTCACCTTTTCCCCTACTACATTCAGCTTTATTATCATCTTCCCAGCATGTTTTGACTTCAATTGTTACTTCTCTCAATGGAGAAAAGCCATTTGTAGTCCTTATAACTTGTTGTATAGGACTTGTCAGTCCCACCCTGCCCTTTGCTTTTATCCATACTTGTTGATCTTCTTTTGGATTCTGTGTTTCATCTCCTTGATCAATCTGTTTGCCCGTGTCCCTCTCTACTTGCTTTGATGGACCTATTGCCACCCATTGAGTTGTTGGTTTCCTTGTTTGCTGAATATTTTCAATTATATTGGTACTAATTCCTTGCTGTTTATTCTGATGTTGCTCATTTTGAACACTTCTTTTTGTTGTTTCAGCTCTGTCTTGATCTCTTTCACAATCATGACCCACAATCAAACACTTCCTACAATACTGAGGAACCCAATCATACTCCACCATTTGCTCAAACTCTTTGCCTGAAGGATCTTGAATTTTGATACACTTAGGTAACTTCTTGCTGATATCCATCTCTATAAGCACTCGAGAATAGGAAATTCTAGAAGCATTACCTGTACACTCATCAGCATACAAAGGTGTTCCTAGTCCACTAGCAATTCTACTCAATGTCAATCGTCCCCAACAGTTCAAAGGCAAGTTAGGGAAACTTACCCATAATGGAATAGTTTTAAAAACTTCATTGTACAAATCAAAGTCCTCTGTCCATGATTTCAGAATCAATGGCTTCACTCCCATTGTATATGGTCCTGAGTATAGTACAGCATTTCAATCATCCATACTATTTAATAGTATCACAAAATAGCCTTCATTATGATAGTACACTTTAGGTTTGGCAGCAAAGTTCCATTGCACAGCTATGAATCTCTCCATGGCTCCTATTGACGGTGATTCTCCAATGATATATACAATTATAGCTTTCTGCCACTTTGTATTTTCCAATTCCATCTCCTCTTGCTGTAATTGTACCTTTTTAACCCCATCCTGAATAGTAGGTGGTATGAACACTAGATCCATACCTCTTGCAGCCATTTTATTCCCTGTGAACAGATTTGACCATTTCTGTTGATTTTCCCCCACTACTACTTTTGATTTCTTCTGTTCTGTCTCTTTCGTTGCTTTTTGATTCAGTAATTGTTTCTCTTTCAAAGTAGCTTCTCTGTTCGCACTGTCAACTACCTTATTCTCCATGATGTTCAGCTCCTTTTCCTTGTGACTGCACACTGTTGCCATTAGTGAAGCCGTAATCAATGGAACAGTGTTCATATTCAGAATTCCTTTACCTAGCTCCCCATCAGCTGCCTGAGGTGTCAAATCCCTCATATTTGGACTCAAATTCTCCAGATCTCGTGTTAATTTCAGCTGCATGTTACTTGATCCTCGAGATTCAGCCATATTTGTTGAAATTCCTTTATCATAGTTTTGAGTTTTCTCTTTCGCATCTGTTTCAGTACTACGTCCCAGATTTCCATTCCTACTTCCTGAAGCAATGAAATTAGCTAATTGTACCTTTGTCACCAGCTTCCTAGGTCGTCCTCTCCCCATTTCCGATCAGCGCACGTTAGCAAAGCACGCAGTCATGCGCCGAGAGAGAAAGTCTAGAGAGAGAAAGTCAAGCAAAATAATTTTTACACTACAAGTATGTTGACAAAGTCACACTTGATAGTTATATTAAATATTCCAACTCATGAGAAAATTCCAAATATTTTTAAATATTTTTTTAAAAGAAAATTATATATAAAGTCTTAAAAGTAGATATAAAAATTATATATGTCGGTTTGGTTCGGATTTCTTTTACTTAATATCAAACCAAATCAAACCAAAACTAAATTGGTTTTTAAAACGGGTTGGTTTGACTTTTCGGTTTGGTGCGGCTTTCCGGTTCGGTTTGAACACCCCCACCAGAGAGGCTAAGTTCATAACCAGGCTTGTATTTCCTTTAAATTTATTTCATAATCTTGTTTCTGTTCTTATTCACTTCATATTTTTGGGTCAAATCGATTCATTTGTCTATAATTCACGTTATAAATTCAATTGTACTATTTTAGGGGTATAAACAAGTAATAAATAAGAATATAATTGGAAAGAAAAATATGTAACGATCCAATCATACCAAATTGGTCCTTATGTAAAATGGCTCTTTTTTATTATCACATAACAATAAATTTAACAGTACAATATAAGGAATTTTAAGTAACAATCGCAACAAATATATAACGATACAATACTATACGAAAGGGTAACTACATTCCAAACAAAATGCAAGTATTTAACCCCGAGGGAGAGTGAGTAGACGCTGTCCCTGTGGCGAAGGTCACATATGAGTCATGGTCCATCTTCTCTAGCACTTGAATCCTCTGCTTCCCTTTTCACCAAAATACTCCATTACACTCAACGCAGAAACCTTCCCAAAGGCCAATCTCTTCACGCCCATCTCATTAAAACAGGTTCTTCCTCTTCTTGCATATACTTATCCAACAGCATTGTCAACTTATACGCCAAGTGCCACCGCTTGTTGGACGCCCATGTCGCCTTTCAAGAAATAACAAACAAAGACGTCGTCTCATGGAACTGCCTCATCAATGGCTACTCTCAATTGGGCCGTCCAGATTCATCTCTTTCCGTCCTCAAACTCTTGAAGCAAATGAGACAACTGGACGAAAACTCCCATGTCCTCCCAAATCCTCACACATTTGCTGGCATTTTCACCGCGGTTTCAACCTTGGGGGAGTACTACTCCTTTACAGGGAAGCAAGCTCATTGTCTTGCCTTCAAACTCAGTTACCTTAACGATGTATTTGTGGGCAGTTCCTTGTTGAACATGTATTGCAAGGCTGGTGGTCATCATCTTGTTGATGCTCGCAAGATGTTTGATGAAATGCCTGAGAGAAATTCTGTATCTTGGACTACGATGATCTCTGGGTATGCATCACAGAGGCTAGCCAAGGAGGCTGTGGGAGTGTTTAGGATGATGCTATGGGAGCAAGGCCGAGGGCAGGATTATGTGAATGAGTTTGTGTTTACTAGTGTTCTTAGTGCTATTGCATTGCCAGAGTTTACCCCTGTAGGGAAGCAAATTCATGGTCTTTCCCTCAAGAATGGATTTTTGTGGAACGTTTCTGTTGCCAATGCTACTGTTACTATGTATGCAAAGTGTGGGAGCTTGGATGATGCATGTCGGGTATTCGAGCTTTCCTCTGAAAAGAATTCTATAACCTGGTCTGCATTAATAACAGGTTACGCGCAGAATGGGGACTGCGAGAAGGCCTTGAAGTTGTTTTCGCAGATGCATTTCTGTGGGATGAATCCGAGCGAGTACACTCTGGTTGGAGTGATTAATGCTTGTAGTGATTTTGATGCTCTTAGTGAAGGAAAACAGGTGCATGGATATCTATTGAAGTTAGGGTTTGAGCCTCAAATGTATATTCTGACTGCGTTAGTGGATATGTATGCTAAATGTGGCAATGTTAGTGATGCCAGAAGAGGTTTTGATTATTTGAAAGAACCCGATATAGTTTTATGGACTTCCATGATAGCGGGATATGTTAAAAATGGGGATAATGAAAATGCAATGGGTATGTACTGTAGAATGCTGGTGGAGGGTGTTGTACCTAATGAGTTGACGATGGCTAGCGTGTTAAAAGCCTGTTCTAGCCTTGCTGCTTTGGAACAGGGGAAGCAGATTCATGCTCATATAGTCAAGCATGGGCTTAGTCTTGAAGTTCCAATTGGAAGCGCTCTCTCAACTATGTATGCAAAATCTGGAAGCCTTCATGACGGTAATCTAGTCTTTAGGAGGATGCCTGTGAGGGACTTAGTGTCATGGAACTCAATGATGTCAGGTCTTTCACAGAATGGCCGCGGCACTGAAGCCCTTGAACTTTTTGAAGAAATGCTTCTTGAGGGAACAAGGCCAGATTATGTCACTTTTGTGAATATTCTTTCTGGTTGTAGCCACATGGGATTGGTAGAGAGAGGGCAAAATATTTTCAAGATGATGTCTGATGAGTTTGGAATAGAGCCTAGGCTAGAGCATTTTGCGTGCATGGTAGATATGTTCGGTCGTGCTGGAAAACTCTATGAAGCAAAAGAGTTTATCGAGTCAGCAGCAAATCATGTTGACCATGGTCTGTGCTTGTGGCGTATCTTGCTAAGTGCTTGCCGGAACTACAGAAACTATAAATTAGGTGCATACGCAGGAGAGAAGTTAATGGAATTGGGTTCACAAGAGTCATCTGCTTATGTGCTACTCTCTAGTATTTATTCAGCTCTGGGAAGATTGGAGGATGTTGAACGCGTGAGAAGGTTGATGAATCTCCGTGGAGTAAGCAAGGAGCCTGGATGTAGCTGGATTGAGCTGAAGAGTCAGTTTCATGTATTTGTTGTTGGAGATCAGTTGCATCCACAAATCATAGATATACGTGAAGAGTTATGGAGGTTAAGAAAGCAAATGAAAGATGAGGGATATAAACCAGATCTCGATCCTTGCTTAGAGCTGGGAGTTATAATGGACTGATTCCATGCAGAACATAGATGCTTTTCTGGAAATTATATTTTTGCAGTGTTTCTTCTTCAATCACGTTCTTCTTTTTTTTTTTTTTTAATTCATGTCATTGCTTTCCTAGTTCCTTCTGAGCTTGTTAGAGATGTTCTGCTTAACCCATCTTTCGTTTAGTTTTCTTATAACAATGCTGCATTCTAATCATGATAAGCATTCGGTTGTGTTTCATCAGCATTATGATCTCCGTAAAATTCTGAGAATCCTTTAATTCAGGATCAATTACTTTATGGTAGATAGAAAGGCAGCTTGCAGCTCGATGTGCTCAAAAGAGTGCAGCTTTTGCTCATTAGGGTAGCCATCAGATAACATGGAACTTTATTCGTTTCTTTTTTGAAATAGAAGAACCTTATTTGTCTGAGTACCAGAGAAGTAAACGATTTTCGTCAAGAGTTTAACTCTATATACTAATGGTGGATAAAAGTTTTTACACTATATATGATTGTCATCTAAAAGATAATTACAGATACCACTCCATAAAAGTAGGACTAATAATATGAAAAATACAGAAAGTTAGCGCCATAACAAGTTAAAAACATTTCTGAACGATGGTACTTAGTTGAGATGCTTTTTGTTCAATTCTCCCTTTTGCTTATATCAGTAGTGATAATTCTAAATAATCTTTATCATACTCTATGCAATTGAAAACAAAACCGAATATCGAAGAAACCAGAAGTGTAATTAATTAGTAGATGATTTTGTTGGCTTTGAATGAGTAAAATCAGACTGACTTTCGCCCTTTCGGAGCTATGTTTTTATCCTATTAAGATAAAAATTACTCATAGGAAGATGTTGGGAGAATGTGCGAACCAGAAACGAAGGTTAACAAAGCTGAAGTTGTATCAAAAGTAAGTGCATGTACATTATATCAGTATTCTATGGTAGATAAAAGCTGCAATATAAGTTAGCTGTTTTCATTTTTGAAAAGTAATCTTTTGAATATTCATTGTTGAAAAAAGATTATCTGTCAACAGACAGAAGATAAGCTAATTTCATTTAACATGCAGAGAATGTTTCCATTTGCTAACTCGTGCAATTCCAGTCCAACTCAGGCCTTGAATCGATTGTACACCAAACTAAACATCATGAATGAAACATGTCAACTAATCACATATTTCCTCCAAAAAGGAGACTATACAATATTATTTCGTCCATGACGTGGATATTTATCTGCTATCTTTGAGTTTCAAATCTCATTTTTACATTCTTAAGAATATTGTAGTTTGTCAAATGTTCCAGTTACTTCAAGAACCATTCAATATGAGTTATGAGAGACTAAGTAAATGGAGTTCGTACAAACAACAAGGTCGTTGTAGTATAGTGGTAAGTATTCCCGCCTGTCACGCGGGTGACCCGGGTTCGATCCCCGGCAACGGCGTCATTTTATTTTATTGTCGCTTTTTATCATTTTTCATCTTTTGTTTAATTGATCTTTGATTATTATACATAAGAAATGGCAAATCAGAGAGAAATACTGGTCAATAGAAGTGATAATAAATTATTTATACACTTAGCAAATAAACAACACCTCCTTTTGAATATCTGACAAATCACGTCCTCTCATGTCAGGGACCTCCATTAGCCATTAGGATTCTTATCTTCTTTTTTTGTTTGTTTATTTCTCCATACGTGTTTTTCTTGTCTATAACCTTTAGTCAAAGCCACCAACTGTCAGAAATCTAACCAAAATTTGCCTTGGCCCCTGTTGTGCGTTTTAAATACAAATGTAGCCATGAATCTTTCTGGACCACTGCAAATACAACAAATTAGTAGAGACGAAGCCCGAAATTTTCTTCAGAAGCCCACTTTCAGTAACCCTAGTCGATAATTACAAATTTCTGGTCTAAATGTCCAAGAAAACAACAGTTTATTTTCTGTTTCAAAAGCAGGAGAGATGTACTTTTACCGAAGCAGTAGCCACTAAATATACATGTAAATAATATGCACACAAAAAATTTGGTATTATACACAAGTTGAAATTACTTGACAACTAGCGCTTATTAGTCCATTGGGTTAAGAGTGAGACTTTAGAACCTTAATTTTGAAAAAGAAAATTCTTTTTCTTCTGTGTTTTGCGTCTCCAAACTGTCTTCTTCCAATGTGATGATGTTACGTTTATTCAGTTTTTTAATTAGATGTTGACACTGCTCACATGTTACGCCACTAACCAAAAGTTTACAATTTAAGTTATAGTGTTGCATATATAGCCGCTGTAAAAATAATAGCTGAAAAAATGTATAAAATTTATATATTTTTTGTATATATATACATTCTGTATGTTATATACAAAAATTATACAAGTTTTATACACTTGTTCGGCCACCATATGTAAATAATTTCTGGTGCGGATTAAAAGTGATAATACCCCAATTCTATTTGTCCCTTGATTTCTATTGGTTGGACTCCCTATTTTAAAAGGCATTTTTGGGACTTGCTCCGGTGCGGCACACTATCAAAACTACTCTGAGGCTCATACGTGGAGCTTAGTCCTGTGATGCTTATGCCCTAAGCGTCCGATTATGCGTCCTAAACACACACCTAACAATTTCTACACCAATCATGTGATAAACAGCACTGTTGACTTCCAAAGTTTTTTAATAAATGAGAATTTATTGTCATTTCAGGGTCTAAAGGCTCAAATTTTCTTCGTTTTTTTTCTTTTTCGAATGGAGCTGGGAGACACCAAATCCCAATTTGATACTTGTAGTTATATGATTAAGTGAACTTGGTTACTGTAATCGCAAAGAACTCAAGTAATTATCCAGTCCTTATGGAACTATTAGTATTCCTAATTCACTGGATTGTACATTTCAAAGCTGTCTGGTATAGAGAATCTTAGTATCAATTAAAACAAAGATTTGGTGGTTCTTGCTTCACAATCTATTTTGATTACTACTAGGAAGATATATAACTTCACAAATTGCTATTGGTATAAAAATTATAAGGACTAAGGAGGAAGTTTCATGGGACATAAGAATTAATAAAATAAAATTAAAACCAAACATCAAGGTTGCCGGAATAATAGAAGATGGGTACCATGTCTGTCACGAGAAGATCACGTGCCAACATGTCCTCTTTTATACAGTACAAGGGTGTCTTTTTCTATTACGTACATAAGAAAACCAGCTTGGAACACCTGGACAACCCTTGAAAATCCTCAAACACATGAGTGTAATTTAATCTGCATTGTCTCCTCGTTTCTCTAGGTTCTTTTTCTTCAACCATCTTATGTCATGTGTTATGTTCCGTACTTAATTATGAAATTGACCCACCAAACATGATTTTTCTAACACCAAAACGAATCCCACCAACATCAGAAGCCAAAATTTAAAGCTAAACTTTGAGATTTTAGTCATTTTAATTTACTAGATTTTAATTCAATAATTTTTTTAAAACAAATCCCAGAATTTGTACAAAAGTTTGGTCAAATTCGTAACCCACAATTTAGCTCCACCCCTGACCAAACACCCCTACATTATGGGTTGAATTATTCACAAATGTTTATAATAAATTAATAAATGTAAGTTATTTTCTCTCTGTACAAACATATATCTCTTAACTATATAATTGCATAAGATGTATTCTCACTTTAATTTTTAATTGCTAAGAGTAAGTTGTTTGACTTAATATAAACACCGTGCATGTAAGTTATTTATCAAAATGTTGTTATGAAATCTTGAAAGATTGTGATATTCTATATATATGTAGTGGTATGTTCCACATATTTTTTGTTTTCGTGATGTACTCGTGTTTAATGGGCGTGATAAGGCTATTATATAGTATAGATCCTTCAAAATGCATGAAAATAGCAAAATATTTGATGTATTCCTACTGGATACTCCTACTTACTTACACACAACGTAGTATCAAGCACTGTTGACGTTATAAATAGATAAAACAAGGACAGAGAGTCAGAGACTTTGATCTCTCTAGTCTAACTCTGAATCAGACTTCTCTTGGCACGACCACCCACACCAAAAATATAGACAGTGAATTGGTTTAATCTGTCAGCGTTTTCTCTCCAAAAATTTAAAATTTTAATTTAGGTAGAAAAATGAAAAGGACCATCATAACCAATTGGGTTGGGGGGGGGGGGGTGGTTTCCGTGGTGGGATCATTGACTGCTTGATGACAAGAATAAATGGTGGGAAATGTATATTAGTGTAAGTTTTAGATGCTGAGAATATAAAAGATATTTACCAATCAGCTAATTTTAAAGTTATTATGTGTAACTATTATATAATCGCTAATTCGTAACTTAACAAAAATGCTAACTGACATGCTAGCACGGATGAAATTCCACTGATAGTATAAAATACTTTGGGTGCAGGTAACTTAAATCCAATTTACATTAGGGAATGGAGGCTGCCCAGGAAAAGTTATTGGGATGAGCAAAAGACAGAACATGTTAAAACCATTGCCCTGTTCTTGCTAAACATGTTTTTTAAATTAAGTTAAACTTGGTTGGAATGAAGGTTATCATGTGAATTTAATACTAATTTGCAGACTTTTGTCTACTGCTTGTCTCGTAATCTCAGTCCTCCTTAGATTTGAACCAGTTTATCTTAATAGTAAGATTCTTAATGATTGGCCCCATAGTACAGCTAGAACAGTGGCCTAATCTAACAAGTTTTGACTCATGGCATGTTAGCTAATGAATAATAGATGGGGGGAAAAAAGCTACAAACATGAAAGGAAAGAGAAAAGGTTGTGATTGACAGTTAATGTTTATAGTATTTTGATGAATTTAAGCCTTAGATCCAATCCAATAGTACTAGTGAGCAGGCATTGTGCATTCAAATCAAGCAAAATAAACTGAATATTTCATGTAAATATGCTACTAAGTTTCCTGATAACGAAATAAAATAGCAGTAGGCATTAAAGTATAACCATGACTTTTCCTAAATATTGCAAGCCTTTAGCTTACATGGCCGACCAAGTTATCACTTATCCCCGTGGATGATGCCTACAATAATTTTGACACATCCAAGGGTGTGGTATAATTATCAATAAAGTGAATGAAGACCATCAAAGAATAATGACTAGTGTTAATTTCAACGGACAAAAAAAAAAAAAAAAAAAAAAAAAAAAAAAAAAAAGTGATTTTCCAAATATGACTTAAGTCTTGATAATAGAATTATTATATAAATATGCTGGTGGAAAATTGATTAAGTGAATGATGTGGCAGGTGATTGGAGAAGGTAGCTAGGGACGAGAGATGGGCAGGGCTTAAGATTCCAAGTGTGTTGGGGCTTGTTTGGGTGGGGGGGGGGGGGACCCTGTTTCTTGGTAATGTCCTTTAGTCTAATTTAATATTGCATGATTTGGACCACCATATTATTCTTCCTCTATATAAGAAGAAGAAGACCTTCTCCTCCTCCAACTTCAAATCCAACTGCATTCTTCTGCTACTTTGTTCAGTCTCTTTGTATTCTTACACAAAAAACACAAGCTTTTTTTCATACCCTTTTCTCTATATACCTTGATTTCTTACTCTTTCATATTTTTTTCCCTATTGACAAAAAGTTGGCTATGGGAATGAAGATGAGCAATGCTGGTGAAAATAAGAGCTCAAAGAAGAAAATATCAAGTAGAAAACTTGGAAGATTTCTAAAGGAGCAGAGAGGAAGGCTTTACATAGTGAGAAGATGTGTAGTCATGCTTCTTTGTTGGCATGACTGATAAAAATAGTCGAACCAGCATAATGAAAAAACTAGCATTATTATTCAAAAAGATCCATTGGTTCGAGACTAAATCCTAAGCTTCGGAGTGACAAGAAGAGAAAGTCCAACTTAGACCTCAAGCTCGAGAAAGGTCATTAATTGTTTGTGGCTGTTAAATTACCTTTTTGTTTCTAATTGTAAATAGAAAAGAGTAATATTTAGCTAGCTTAGAAGTTAAAATAGTTTGGTTAGTTTTTCACCAGTTCTTCTAGTTCATTTGCGATACACGATAATGAAAAGGAGATTATCTGGTTCGTAATAGAAATTTATCAGCTTAATGATTTAAGTACTAATATCTCCTAAATTTCTTTTCAACCTCCCCCTCCCCCGCCTCGTTTCGTCGCTCTTCTCTCAATTGATCTCACCGGAACAAAATTGAAGAATGTGCTGTGAGAGTTCCGCTAAATCAGTAAGTGGTAATTACCTTTTTAGATTCTATTGAGTGCGAAGATGGTTTTTTAAAAGACTTTTCTGATATGTCCGAGAGAGACGAGAGGAATTCAGTATACATAATTCAAGTCATAAGTAATACGTTCAGTTGAACCTATCCAAAGTCCGTCTATAATGTGAGGGATAGCTAGTGCTTAGAACTCATAAAGACGAGACGATTAAGCAAAAAGAGGCATATGGTTTTGTTGTTGAGCGTTTAGAATGATAATGTTAAAAACGCCCAGATGCAATTAACGATTGGTATGACAGAATATTTATTGGGTTTTGAAAAAAACAAATAGGGGTTTTGGGGGAGGAGAGACAAGTTGCAATTCTAATTTCTCAATCATGGATTTTTTTAGTAGCTACAAACTGTTTTCTAGACGCTGTGATTGGACTCTCTGTGAAAAAAGGATAGTATAAATTATTGTAGGAGGCATGTGGGTTTGTTCCCAGTGAAATGACACCAGAATGTCGTAGTATTTTTTGTCTTACTTGTGACTTATTGGAGTCCATATTGGCACATCTACAATTAAATTTTTTATTGGCTATAATCAGTTAAAACACCCTAAGCTCTTAAATAAAGTTTGGAAAAAAAAATCAGAAATAGTCAGATTTATAATTGGTAATTAAAAATAACCACAATTTTAAAAGTACTCAAATTTTAGTGACTTTTTTTTTTGTAAAGATAAAATCTGAACAAAAACACACTTAAAAATCCGGAAAAATTCCCGCATAATATGTTGGATTTTGAATTTTTTACATATGAGATTCCAGCATAATATGCTGGAAGTTCATAATGTGCTGAGTTCCAACATAATATGCTGGAAGTTTATAGGCAGGAGCTCCATAATCCAGCATATTATGCTAGAACTTTCCGTATACTAGAAGTGTATACGCAGGAGTTTTATAACTCAGCATATTATACTGGAGCTTTCCGTGTTTCAGCAAAATAGTAACAATTTTTCAATGACTTTGCAAATGTTGGGTAGTTTTCAGTTATCGGTCTGAAAATTGGCCGCCCTATGCTATTTTTATCCAATGTTGTTGTACACGAAGATGGAAGATAATTATGTTAGATTTTCCCTAATTAGGTACGTGGCACAATAAGCTTAAGGCCCATAATTAATATTTAATGAAAAGCAAATCATATTCGTTGAATCAGTACTTGATGGATGTACCGAATTAAGTCAATTACGCTATAAATTGGTCATCTTCCCACCCATTAGGGTTGGTTACCGTATATCTCTATTCTCTTTCCAGTAACGAAGGCTAAGGCAAGGGGCGAGAAACCAATTTCAATTAATGCTTCCGCTTCGCGATAACGGCATCCGCTTCAGATATGTTTTCTGTAATGATTATATATAAAATTATCATGTTCAAATTCCTGGTATGCAGTTAAGAAATTTGTCAAATTAATAACGTACTAATCAAATTAAATTAGCTTCATGCTTGTCCAAAATAATTCGCGTCATTCTAATTCTATCGAATACTGTGTTGAAGGAGAAAATAGCGTTGTGCATATGAAAGAGTCATTGAACTCTGTTAACTTGACAATAATTCGTGTCATTCTAATTCTATCAAAAGAAGTACTAGTAATCATTGTATATTGTACTTCTTCATCCTTAATTACGGAACTCAAATTCAAGTTTTGAGTATAGAGTCACCATTATTAGCTAGGTACATCATGTGTGTCGACGAAAACCTGAATTTAATCGGGCTCCAAAAACAAGCATTTAACACCAAGTTGGAACCAAATAAAACAATCCTCTGTAAGAGTATGGATTGTACTGTTGGGGTGGAATCTAAAGTCGTCTTTTGCTCGTGTAACTTGTATGTTTTATCAAAATCAAACAGTGTTTACGTTACCACTAGTTAATTGATCCGCGCTTCGCGCGGTAAAATAATTTATTTTTTAAATTTAGTTGATATAAAATAGATAAAGAATTTATAGCACAAATAATTTTCAAAAAAAAAATGTTTAGTCTTAGAAATAGAGCAAGAAAAATGCACAATTCTTCATACCTTATCCATAAAGGGGTTTCAAGGAAGTCGCTTGGCATTCTGGAAAGAAACATTAGAACATAAAAATAAAAGATGAATATAAATAAACTCAACAATAATTGACCAAAACATCATGAAAAAAACTTTAATACGATAAATTATTCACGGAGACGGGCACAATTGCCGTGAATAAATTAAAACACCAATGAAATATCTTGAATGATGTAGCTCCAAAAACAAAGCAAACTATAATAAAACTACGAACAAACAATCAATTCTCATAAAGTATTTCTCCATCACAATATTTCATATATATCCCAAAAGTAAGACAACTATCAAAGATAATGAAAACTTCAAAATTAGTAAATTAAAGCACTAAAAGCAGTAATATAAATTTCAACTTCATAAAGAAAATTATTAACCTCAAAGGAAAAATGAATTGTTGAAGAACTTTCAAAAACTTTTTCCTTTTTAGTGATCCAGGTTTTGCTTCTCTCAGTCAGCAGTGGCGAGCAACACTAATCTCCCCATTTTGTGCTTTCTGATTTCAACTTCTTTTTGTTTTTTATGATTGTTGGTTATGAGTTTTGGTTGCACTTATTTGTATAAAGTGATTAAGTTGTCGCTTTGAGGAAAGCTCTTCTCAACCTCAAAGGGTGTATCTTACCACTGGATTGATGGACTCCAAAATCGTAAGATGGCATCACTTAACAATTATGTGAAGTTCACAGCAGGAAGTTTGGAAAATAAGATGTGCGCTAAATAAGATATGAACGGACTGTATATTGGGGAGCTTATACAAACGTGTGTGGGCTTTCTGTTAAGCATAGACATGATTTTCTCAATCTACATGTCTATTCATCAATAACATATGACTGGTCACCATGGTCGAAGAAGAAATTTGGAAGAAAGTCTTGGGGATTTAATAGAGAAATGAGCAAAAAAGAAAGATGGGTCAAGGGTATAAAAAATATTCAGTAGGATGATAACTTATTTTATAACTGAAAATTTATGTGTGGAATTTGAATAGGAAAACAAAATTAAATGGATTATGGAACTGTAACTGAAATTTGTACAAAAATTGCAAGAGAGTTCAACTGTAATCATAGCCTATTATGTAATTCCAATCCAATCGTTGTAATCGAATTGTATGTCTTAAGTGTTGGAACGGTTACACATAAGAAAAAATAGATGTTTGAAGTAGATAAATGAGAGAAAAAAGCAAAAAATTGACAAAAAAGATAAATGTCTTTCCAAGCCTAAGAGAGGTGCCACATAGGCATTCCTATTCCCACTTTTATATTATTATATAGATAGATTGTAAAACATTGTGGTAGACTTGGTCACATAAAAATTTTCTGCCCATCACCTTCCACAACATCCATCTCTAACACTCTACAAACCCCACTACCAAATGATACTAAAAATAACTCCAATGAATGGAAAACAGTCAATTTTCCTGCGAAGAATCGATCTCGAGCAAAATCACCCACAACAAATAACTTTCAACCAAACAAGTCGAACATTGGCGGCGCGGGACCTACAAGTATGTCATCTAACCTAAACCTAACACACACAGAGCTAACTATACACCTATTAAGAAATCATTAATTAACAAAATAATTTCTAGTGCCTCCTCTAACCCTCCAAAATTTTTTAATCAAACAACTCTACAATTTCTAAACAAACCCGGCACAATGGACCAAACGATCAGTACCCAAGGCCCAAATAACATAGCCCATGAGACTAACAAGTTTACACCTAGCCCACAACCCATCCACTCCCAAAAAACACATTCATCAACTATAATTGCTGACTCACCTTTTACTTCACAAACACCTAGCACAAGCAGTTACAACGTGGCAAAACAGCCTGATATTAATGCCTCCAAAACAAACAAAAAGGACGACGAAATTGCTATATGTATATATAGAAAGATGTGGACTGGAGAGTTTGGATTGAGGTCACTATGCTTAACACATCGTAGTTGGACTCGGCTATCGGTAAAGGAAGCATATGCCTCTAACTCAGTTCATTTCCTATATGGTAATGGTAGGTACATTCCATAACCGACTCTTGGTACCGAGTCGAGCCTTTCTAAACATAGGCACATGCAACTCCAACTCACCCCTCTTTATAGGCACTCAATAACAAACCTACCTTACGGAAACTCCCCCTTCCCCAATAACCGAAAGTAATTCACATCTCCAAGGCCCAATACCTACACTTCCCACCCAAACATCAAAGCCAATGACTGGCGAAGCCCAATACCCAACACAAGCAACCCAAAACAGTCATTCACATGAGACTACACCTTCATTACCCATATCAAATCAACTGTCTCCATTAACCTCTCAAAACCAAGAACACTCTGAACCCTCATAATTAACTACTACTACCCATAGAACTACAAACAACTCCTCCATAATACATCTTCCATTCCCAAATGAACCGATCACATCACAATTTTCACCACAGGAGAACCCTCTCCTTCACCAACACGAACCTTCTCCAACACCCCATATTCCTCAACACAATCACCATGCCACCACCACATGACCCCTCCACAACCCACACCCATTTACATAACACAATATCCACCAATCCAAACCTACCCCAGTCCTGGCTCGAGATGAGCATGCAAGAGCATGCACTGACCTTCACCATGGAAATCGACAACCAAGGTGTGATAGTAATGATACAAAATCCAGCGGACATATCACAAATAGTTGCAGAGGGGATGCACATGGGAGTGATACTTTACAATCAATTCCGTTGGGCCATGCATCCCCCGTCAGTTCTCAACCAACAACAACAAATGACACCACCATTTCCAACTCTTCTCTCCATGCT